CATAACCCTAAAAATAACCCTAAAAATAACCCTAAACCTACCCTAAACCTACCCTAAACCTAACCCTAAACCTAACCCTAAACCTACCCTAAACCTACCCTAAACCTAACCGTAAACCGTAAACCTAACCGTAAACCTAACCCTAAAGCTAACCCTAAAGCTAACCCTAAACCTTACCTTAAGTTAAATCGCGCTTCTGTCGGCGCGCTGTTGTCGGCGCGCTTTTGACATCGTGGTTTTAGCGCCGCGGTGTTGTCGGTGCGCTTTTGACGTTCGCGGTTATGTCGTGCCACAAGAATTTTATATTGCTAGAACAAAGAAGCAAATTGTAAACATAATTATATTTACTTAGGGTCGGACTGATCACCCCATGCTGTTTGTCTTGCTCAAACAGAAATGTTATAACTGCCTGAGTTTCTCAGGCAGATGGCATTGATCAGACAGTGCTTCTCTTTTGCCCTACATTCTATGATCTCATGCAATCCAGTTTCCCACTCTTTTTTTTAACGATCCCTGTAGTCTGTATGATCTTCATCTGGGGGTGGATGGGGAAAAAATGACCACTCTCGACATATGTTGAAGGCAAGCAATCAAAAGCCGCGTGTCAAATTGATGCTGATGGTATTGCTTTGTTCCATGTATTCAGAGTGCTGGAATGGTGCTGTCATCAAAGCTGGCAATGCAAAACCTGATGGTGTTTCACACATTGCTAGAGATGAGTCTTTCCTCCCCTAAAACTTTTTCAGTGTGTTGAGATGACTATTCTTTAGAAAAGGAGGGTGCAGATTGTAGTGCCGGAACTCCTGAGTGACTCACATCTGAAGAAGATCGCTATAGCCTCATATTATAGCCTCATTTTCTAAATTCTGCAGATCTGTGAAGCTGAGACATTCAGCAAAAGTGTGTGGATTGAGCCAAATGTAAGAAGTCAGTTTGGATTTATAAATAGATTTGATTGGGATTTTTGAATTGGACTGCCGAAATTGAGTTGGTTTATTTCTGCCGAAATCAACATCAGATCATTGGACCAGGTAGGAACAAGCAGAACTGATTATTTCAAGGGAACATTGATTTAATGATTCCCCAGTTCGCTTTTGATTCAAATCTCTGAAATGAATTTGTGCACAGGACCGATGACTATATTTTGTGATATTATACAGTAAGTTTAGGTGAAACTCTATGTTTCAGTGGACAGCTGTTTAAAGCAACCCATGGTTTCTGAAAACAGACAGAACAATAATCACAGTCAGAGGGGTTAGAAGAGAGTCAGAGTATCTCTTCACCTGTGGATTTCTTCTCTTGGCAATTGTAGGCTTCAAAAAACCAATCACCATTTTAACCTTACAACCAACTATACAAAAAAAAAGAGAGCAAAAAGCATTGAATTAATTGAAGGGTGACCAGAGGACTGCCTTCTACAATATTCAGGTCTCTTATTCTGAATCTGTAAACAATGCACGTAAGTACTAAGTGCAAATTCACTCATTGAAATTTGCAGAAAAATGGCATGTTTAACCCTATACCAAACAGAGGCTATGCCAGCTTCAGTTCACAAGGGGATTCATCAAAATATACTATGGGTGCCTAACTTTCATATGTAACTGTAGACATTTCCATTGCTCTGATTTGCAGTTTCCTTTAGAAGATTATCTGCATCAGACTGATGAAAGAAATGTCCTTCTGGGTTCAGCTCCAAGTGGGGAAAAAGACACTGGAGACATGGAGGCTGCTTGGAAAGATGGTTTATTGTTGGACAGGGCCACATGGCTTAAGCCCTGAACAGAAAAGGTGATCCACATGCTTCAATGTTGGTGGAGAAGAAGAGAAGGCTGAGGGAGGGGGCTTGCTAGGCTTTTTACACCCTGTTTAGTCCCACCTCTCTGTTTCCTCTTCCTGGGTAAGAAATGTATTTTGATTGGTTGNTCCATTGCAACTGGGAAAACCATATCTCTGGATACCCATTGCTAATAATCATGAGCAGAAGGGAACAAGGCCTGTTGTGTCTCGGTTGTGGGCATCATAGAGACTTCTACTTATCTTGTGTGGAAGTAAAATGCTACCGATATTATCAGTGACTGTGTTAATGGAGCCAGCCTGACTGGTTGCCACTGTACCAATTCAGCTCAGAGGAAGTCAAGAAGAAACAGACAATAGCAACGGCATCAAGACATCCAAGAAGTGGGATGAGGTGGGGTGGAGGCCTCTAATGAAGGACCTACCAAGACCATATCTTTTTCCAGGTCTTCCATATCATCATCCAACATCAGCCTATCAGAATACTGTTTTCTACATCCACTGCAGCTTAGAGTGCTGAAGGCTTGGCACTCTAGCAGGATACGCTGATGGAGTAGAGTCCCTAAGCTGTTAAGCCTCCCTAAAGCCTGCTTACGTTCAGGCCACAACAACCAGGCAGCTGCTTTGCACATCTGTTCTGTGGCCATTTGAAGCTCACATTTGGGGCTTTAGATTTTGGTCGGTTATCTGCCTTTCCACTGGCCTGCAAGCAGATATGACAAGCCAGGAAATCAGTGACAGCACCATTTATTCTGCAGGAACAATTCTGGTCATTTAGAACTTGGTCAAGCATTTGGGTTTTATATCGGATTGTTGGGAGATGTTTAAAAATGAACAAGCTGAGGGTTTGTTTCTTATACGGTTGGATTTCTAAGCATTACCGAACAGCATCCCCTAGCGGATAGTGGTGGGGATGATAGTACACGCATTGCAGTTTAAGCAAATCCAAACAAATGGAAAAATAATTCTCTCTTCCTCCACCAGCAGATTGAGAGAGATGAGAGAGAGAGAGAGATATGAGAGAGAGAGAGAGATGAGAAAGAGAGAGGAAGAGAGAAAGAGGAGAGAAAGAGAGAGAAAGAGAGACAGAGGAGAGAGAGAGAGACGAGAGAGATGAGAGAGAGAGAGAGAGAGAAAGAGAGAAAGAGGAGAGAAAGAGAGAGAAAGAGAGACAGAGGAGAGAGAGAGAGACGAGAGAGATGAGAGAGAGAGAGAGAGAGAAAGAGAGAAAGAGGAGAGAAAGAGAGATAGAGAAGAGAGAGAGAAAGAGAGGAGAGAAAGAGAGAAAGAGAGAAAGAGGAGAGAAAGAGAGAT